CCAGGCTGGAGCTGGTCCTGAGCCAGAATGTGACTCACAGTGGTGCTGTGGATCTTCATCTTGAACTTCTCGAAGTAGAGCCAGTCCCGTGCCTCCTCAGGGTCTAGATCGTGGTAATAATCACGGGCAGTGTAGCCAAAGCTGTGAAAGGCACCCTCCGGGGTCAGCAGGAGGCAGGTGGGGGTCTTCTGGTGCGCCACACCTGGGTCCCCGCCCTCCCACTTCCTGTGGAGACACAGGGCTATCAGTGGGGTCAGCACCAACCCTCTCTTCGAGGGGTTGAATGATGGCTCTGGGATGAGCTGTGTGCCCTTGGCAGGCCACTTAGCCAACCCCACTTCGAGGGGTTGAATGATGGCTCTGGGATGAGCTGTGTGCCCTTGGCAGGCCACTTAGCCTCCTTAAAATGGGAATAATAATAGTACCTGCCTCTTAGGGTTCTTGTGAAGATGAAGATGGTGCTTGGCATCCAGTTAAATCTCCATGAATGCTGCTCTTGGATCCTCCCTATCCATGGGGCCACAGGATCCATCTGACATTCTCGGTTCCCACTCTCAAGAGGTATACCACTTGACCTCGCTTCCCTGCACCCTTAACAGGCGGCAGCAAGCCATCATCCATCCATCTGCCTGCATCTGGCTTCCTGATGTGTCTCCAGGACCCTAGCAGAGGCCTTCTCCCAGCCAGCTAGTTTGCCCCACTCAAGGCTGTCTTCCAAGGCCAAGCTCCTTCAAGGCATTCATGACATTCCTATCTGACTCACCTCAGCAGCAATACCCCAGCTGACTGCACCTCTGTCAGGTCCCCAAAAACCTGAATGAGATTCCAAGTCCCCCTATCCACAGGCCCATGTGGACCTCCACACAGAACCCCCTGCCCAGTTCTCTGACCTGGAGAATCCTTCCCCTCTTCCTCTGCCTTCCCTGATGCCCTGACCCATCTACGCCAAGCTTGCGACTGTGGCCCTTTGGGGAAGGAACTGGGAATCCAGGCAGAATGTGCACATGCTTAGAGGTGTGAAAGAACAGGAGAACTAACTGTAGGTTAGCTCAATATGCAGCAGGAGGAAATACAGGAGTGCTGAGGTCAGCTGAAAAAGAACTCCAAATGCCATATCAGAATTCCATTTTGGTGAGGTTTACGTTGGGGAGTGAAGCAGCATGACCACATTTGCCTTTAGAAAGGCCACTCGGCCTCATATAGCAATAGACTGGAGGGGAGGGAAGATGGAGAAGAAAAACTATCCAGCCGTGGAGAGAAGTGGATAGGTACTCCAGAGACATTAGGGAGACAGGAATAATGGGCCTTGGTGGCTGGTGGGGTGAGGAGGGCTTGAGAGGAGGCCAATGACTTCCTATGACTGTCACCTCCACAGGTGACAGTGTCCCTTCATGTGTCCTTGGCTCCAGCATGGGGCCAAGCATGGCCTCAGCTGCTGTGTGCTGACTCCTAGGGGGCTGTAAATGCTCAGAGCCTTTGTGGCTTCATGTGGATGTGGAGGGAGCAGAGAAAGGGGAATGACAGTCCAGGCTCATGAAGGCCAAGTCCTTGTATCTTTAGAGCAGTGATCTTCCTATTTGTCTCTCCATCCACCTTTCCATCCAGCCTCCTGGGCCCTGGGAAAGCCCCTTGGTCCCCCATTCCAGCCAGGGTTGAAAGCTTTGGGGGTCTTCTATTGCTCCACCTATTGGCTGCAGCCCCACTAAGATACACTCTAAGGATCAGGGTCTGCAGGTCTGGAGGGAAGGTTCAAAGAAATGTTTTGTTCAAATAAAATCAACAACAGAATGGATTTTTTGAACATCTCTTTCATAACAACTGTGCGACTTGTGTCAACTTGGTTAACCCTCTAATCCTTCATGTCCTTGTTGTTTTTTAAATATGCTTTTACTGATTTTTAGAAAAAGAGGAAGGGAGAGGGAGAGACGGATAGAAACAGCAATGAGAAAGATACATCAATTGGCTGCCTCCTGCATGCCCCCTACTGTGGGCATGGACCTTGACTGGTGATCTCTTAGTGCATGGGTCAATGCTTAACCACTGAGCCACACCAGCCAAGCCTTGTTTTTCATTTGAGATGTTGGACCTAGGAATGTGCCTCTAGGAATCTACTCCATAGAAATCCCAGCACGAGTTTTCTAGGAAGGAGATTCACTGCAGCATTTTTTATAATAGTGAAAAATTAGAGAACCTCTCCTCCCCAAAAAAACTATCAGTAGCAGAATGGATAAATTATGACAGCCATACTGTGGACTACTATGCAGCTGTTAAAAGAAAGTGGTAGCTCTACATATTGACAGCAAATGTCTACAAAATAGTGTTTAACATTTAAAATAAGGCAAATTGGCCCTGGCCTGTGAGGCTCGGTTGGTTGGGTGTCGTCCCCTGCACCAAAAGGATGCTTGTTCGATTCCAGTCAGGGCACATGCCTGGGCTGTGGGCTTGATCCTTGGTAGGGGACATGCAGGAGGCAGCCGATGGATGTTATGCTCTCACATCAAAGTTTCTCTCTCAAATCAATAAAAAAATAAGGCAAATTGTATAATATCCCACTTTTATTTTAAAACACACACACACATATATACATATATGTGTGTATGTGTTTGTAAACAAGTATATACATATACACATATATGCGTATGTGTTTTTAAACAAGCCCAGATATTTGTGTACTTTACCTGTTTGTTTGTTATATCTCAATAAAATGTTTAAAAATTAAAAATAGAGCCCAGCCTGGCCGGTGGGGCTCAGTGGTTGAGCGTCAACCTATGAACCTGGAGGTCACTCTTCTGTTCTCTGTCAGGGAACATGCCCTGGTTGCAGGCCCCATCCCCAGCAAGGGGCGTGCAAGAGGCAGCAGATGGATAGTTCTCTCTCATCATTGATGTTTCTCTCTCTCTCCCTTCCTCTCTCTGAAATAAATAAAAAACATAAAAAAATAAAAAATAGAGCCTGACATTTCCTGCAGAGGGCAGAAAGCTGCTCCAATAGAGGCTGGGAGCCCAGGCCTGCGGCCATCCTCCAACCTTTTACTCCAGAAGGGAGCCCAGACTTTGAGTGGAAGGAGCTCTGAGGGTACCCCATGTCTCCTCAGTGATAGTACTTCTGGGACCAGGCCCAATCCAGAGTGTGAGGATGCCCGTCCCATCCCCATCTCCCAGGCCAGCAGCCCTCACCTCATCATGTGGATGGCCTCAGGGTCACTGGCAAAGCTGAAGGCATAGCCACTGGAAGTGGTACCGAAGTCGATGGCTACCACCACAGAGAAGGAGGCCTGCTGGGGAGCTCGGGCCTCAGGCTTCTGCAAGTGCAAGACCTAGATTTAGGGAGCAGCCCATGGGCCAGGCTGACTGGACATGGGAGCCCCACCTTCCCCTGGCTGTGGTCCAGCCCAGCCCTGGTTCACCTCTACCCACCAGCCTCCCTGGGCTCCCCTCCATTCCCAGACTCCAGGCTAATCCCTGGAGATGCCAACTGCCCCTCAGATAGCCCTGTGCAACTTTTAGCTCAAGCTCCTGCTTTCCCACTTCTGGTTCTCTGCCCACCTTCTGTTTGCACTGCCTTAGCCCCACCCCTATCTCACACCATGTCACAGCCCAGGCCCAGCTGGGAGCAATCACATTCCTCCTGGCAGCTTCATAGCACATGGACCTGTGTATATTTGACTCTGTTGCTCTTTGTGGCCACAGTGACACAACAAGACTGTTGGTTTTGTGGCAGAGGAGAGAGGCCCCATGCATATTCCCAGAATGGCCCCTGCCTTCTCCTAGGCCAGGCCTGGGTTGCCTGGCAACAAAGGGGTCCCCAGGCTGGATAACAAAGGTGAGGCCATCTGGGGTGGGATGACCCAGGGAGCTTGGGGGAGGGCTATGTCCTGGATACTTCAAGCTAGTAATTTCCAAACTATGTATTTTTTATCAATGTGTCCCTCTTCCCCAGGTGGGGCTATTGCTGACAGGAAGGGGAGTAACTCTGGAAAGGCCAGTGCAGACCTTGAAAAACTACATGCTCAGAAATAGACCTGCCCCAGGCAGGCTAGCTACAGTGGCCCCTGGATGTCAGCCTGAAGGGGGATATTTGGGTGTTAGTATGTGGTGCTCACTTCAGTAGAACTGTTCCCCCACGGTCCAAGGTTAACTAGGGTTAACCCTTCTGCAGAAAGCATGGCTGGAGTGTGCTGGGGCAGGGAGCACAGTGGCACCCCCAGACCAGCCCAGGCCCTTCCAGAGCTGTGCGAGATACCAGGTCATGCTCTCTGGAGCACCAGTCCCCTCCACACCACCCAGGCCACCCACCACGCAGATCCCCACTCCAGGCTTACTGGAGACTGTGAGGGTGTGAGGGGGGCAATGCCACAGCTTTCCTGAGTCCTTGGGGAGCCGGGCGGGCTGGGAACGGGGGACCGCTCTGGGCTGGAGCCTGAAAAGAGAGGGTAAGTCATTCTGGCACAATGAGGGTAGGGGGCTGGTGGCTAGGCCCAGGCCTGGGAGGTTCTCCCATCAGTCCTTGGTGGGCCAATGCAAGGATGCCTGCTGAGGAAGGGGGACTGGGTGGGAGGGGAGGAAGGACGAGACTGAGGCAGGGAAAACTGAGGCAGGAGCAAGCTGAAGGCTTATTATCAGTTAGAGGTGACCTTCTGTGGAAGATGACCCATGCCTCACCTGAGGACTCCCTCAGCACCTCTCAGACACAGTGCGGGAAGGGAGAGACAAAGCAGCATTGTGGGAGTGGGGGAGACTGAGTTCAGAGATAGGAGAGCAGAAGAGATGGGGTGGGTGAGCTCCTGCCTGGGGTGGGGTGGAAGGTGGAGAAACCAGAAAAGGTGGGGGAACTACAGACCTAACTGTTCCCCTCCCCCTAGAGTTCAGCCACATGGTTCTAATCAGAACCTGAGGGAGCAGCCCCCCTCTACTCCCCCTCAAGGGCCAAGGATAGTCCCAGCTGGCTGCCTGGTGAGAATCAAGGCAGGGCAGCACCTCCCCAGCCTAACCCTGAGCTGAAGGTGTCCATAAAAGTAGGGAGTGAATCCCAAGCCCCCCCAATCCCATCCCAACACACATACACCCGGAGCCAGCAGTGGGGCAAATGAGGCCCCACTGAGACTCTCTCGAAGGCCCAGGACTGAGCTGGACCTTCAGTGGGAGGAAGCAGCACAGCCCCCAGAAGGCAACCCAAAGCCTGTCTTGGAGGCTCTGCCTGGTTAGACATCCCCCAGGTGTGGGCTGTGGCCTGTCACCATCACACTGGGCGTTGCTAAGGACCCCTGTGAAGAGGACTGGGACTGCCCTGAGATGCATGAATGGGGAGGCGGAGGCTGACAGGGTCTGGCATGAAGACCCAGGACAAAGCAAACTGGTATGTCTGGCTTCAGGCTGAGCCAGGGCCTGTGCTCCCTCAAGGGATGCCCTGGCGTGTGGCCCTGACAGCTCCCAGCCCTTCCTGGCCTTGGGGTATCCTGGGAACATATGTGGGGGCAGGAAATGAGGGGGACTCTAGAAAGTGTCTGGACAGGGCTGGAGTCTGTCAAGGGGTGCTGGAGAGGCAGGGGCATGGTGGTCACACCCTCAGGGCTCCCTTTTCTCGGGCAGCCAGCATGGACTTAGGCCCTTCCACCAGCTCTAGCTTGAAGGGCCAAGTTACTGTGTGGCTTGAGCCTGGGAATGGAGGCAGGAAGGAAGGCCCAGCCCACCAGGTCTTTGTGAGTGGACTTCCTGAGGGGTGTCCCTCCTGCCTCCTGGCCTCCCACTCCTGTAGAGAGGCCACAGGCAGATACATACACACACACACACACACAGAATTCTGCACACACAGATCTACGTGCAGATACACACTCTCACACAGGCCCTGTGCACAGAGATCTGCCCATAGGCAGACAGACAGACATATACACAAACACCAGGTCTTGTGCACACAGACCCTGCACAAAACATGAACATGCATACAGTCATTTGCACACAGAACTGCTCTGCACACACACACTAGTAGACATGTAGGGGGTCCCATGAACAGACATGTGCTGTGCACACTTGTGTATGATGGACGTGTGTGCAAACACACACACTTACATACACAGTCCTGTGTGCACCAACCCTCCTTACACCACACACATACACTCTCAGGAACTTCTGGGAGAGGCACCCCTGTACAGACTAGGGCAAGTGGAGTGGTGAGTGGGGGCAGAGGTGAGGGGGTTCTTACCAATGTACAGCCCCTGCAGGCCCAGCTCCGGGACAGCCAGCATCTTTGCAGGCCCTGAGGCTGTGAACAGGAACAGACATGCAGAATCGCATTTATTTGTTCCTTTGTTCCCTCACTGAAGGCTTATTTGTTTTATTTATTTACTTTTGGCTGGAGTCTTTTGAAGTAAATCCCAGACATCTGTTGTTTCACCTATAAATTCTTCGATCTGTCTCTCCAACAGATAAAGACTTTAAAAAACATTGCCACAACACCATTATCATGTGTAACAAAATTAATTCCTTAATCTCATCAAATGCTCAGTCTCACAATCCCAGCTTGTCTCTAAAAGATCTTTTTAACAGTTGTTTTGTTGGAATCAGAATGCTCCTAAATGTTTTTGGTGCCCACTCTGTGCCAGGTGCTGGGGGACATCAGGGACCCAGGGGCCCACAAACTGGGGGGAAACTGGTTATAATCAGATAATCACCCAAGTGGATTTAAGATTACAAATGATGCTGTCAAGGTCACAGCTGGATACAAGTGAGGCAAAGGGAAGCATGATAAGGCTGGAGAGAGGGGCTGGGCAGGCCTTCGTAGACCCTATTTTAGATTTGGTTTTACATGAAGGGCAACAGCAAATCTTGAAAGGTTTGAAGTGGGAGAGTGGAGGTGGGGGCATGAATAAGTCTGTATTTTTAAAAACCTCTCAGGCTGTATGAGGAGTGTGGATTACAGTGGGACAGTATGGACGCAGAAGCCCAATCAGGGCTCCAGGCGACAGATGATGGTCATGGCTGAGTATCTTCAAACAGAAGTGGAGACACTTAAGTTAGAGGTTAAAACCAACAGGGCTTATGGGGGATGGCTGGATTGGATATGGGGATTTGGAAGAAGTTGTCAAGGGTGACACTATCTGATTCAAACTAGCAGATGGGTGGTGAGATGGAGAACACTGGAGATGGGCAGGCTCGCAGGAGGAAAAGGGCAGTGCTCTGGGTGCAGTTCTGAAACTCCTGAGGGAACAGCCCAAGGAGCCAGAGGATATATGTTCTAGAGGTCAGGGAGAAGCTGAGGTGGAGGTGTGCATTTGGGGGCCATTGACAGAGAGCAGAGTGGGGGAAGGGAAGGGAACCTGCTCATAAAGGCTGACTCCAGAAAGGTGGGCTGGCCAAGGAGACCAAGATGCCTGCTATGGTTCAACGCCAACCTCAGCTATCAGATGGAAACACCTGTTGGAATGGCTCAGGGCCACATTTTGGTGGAATGACGGAGAAGGGGTAGGAGTCAGGTAAGCCTAGACAAGGAGAGAGCAGAGGGTAAGTGGCTGGAGCTAGCACTTCCAGAAAGGTGGTTGAGATCAGGAGCTGAATGTTAGACATGGGACAGGTTCAGAAACTCACCAGGGCAGAAAGCCCCAGATGCCTAGCAAGGGGAAAACTGGGAAAACAAGAACCTTGTCCCCAGGGGAACCTACCCTCCTCTAGCATATCTCTAGTCATGAGGTTTAGAGCCCCTGAGCGGTTCCTCCCTAAAGATAACATCTAGACCTCAGTTGTATTTCAGTTCCAGGTCCAGATAAGCAACAAAACAAGAGAAGTGGTGCAGTGGCTGCCTCAGGACCAGCTACATTGACTAATGACCCCCAGCTCTGGCACTGACCAACCAGTGGAGACCAGGACCCTGAAAGAGCACACCTGGAAAGCTGATGAATATTCTGTTAAGACCCTCCCCTGAGACCTCCCCTAAGATTTCCACCAGCAAGAGACAGATAAATATGCTCAGGACAAAGGACGCAGCTCGAGCACCCCCTCCCCAGGGGAGCATGCCAGCAGCATTCCCTTCCCCCTTCTTCCCTCTAAGGGGCCCCGTGAAACTTGCAACCAGGGGAACAATGGGCAGCAGCAGCTTGTCCCGGGCTTACTCCCTGAACCTGTCTCCAAGGCCCCCTTTTCTCTGACTTCTCAGTGAGCCAAAGCAGCCCAGCCTAGGTTCTCCTGCTGCTTCTTTTATGCTAAGCCCTTCCTTGTTTCACCGTCCTAAGTATATTTTTGTTGCCATCGTGAAACCAGTACCCTTTGGCTCAGTGTTGTGTAGCCCATCCCTTTGGATATCCCCATTCCCTTTTCCTTAAATTAATTCAATTTTTCTTTATTCACCATCTGAGATGGCTATTTAGCCTGCCTGCACACCACTGACTTTAACCTTTCACTGATGTATGGGCAATACCTGGAGGAACATAAAGTTTGAGGAGAGCTATCCAGAGCCCACTCCCTCTCTATAGCCAGCAGCCTGGTCAGGAAGTTTTCTAACAGAACATCAACAGACACAGAGTTGGGCCCTATCACCCCTCCCCCCCACACACATACATTTTTGTTCATGTACAGTTCCCACATCTCAGCCCTGTCATGCACAGACACCCAGACATGTCTAGGATACTCCCCCATGGCCAGCACCATGGAAATTTCCAGACACACTCAATTCTGCTATCAATGAAGGTGCACAGTTGGATGCCCAGGAATCAGAATCAGGGGGATGCCTGGCAGGGTATCGCTCAGCGGTTGAGTGCTGACCTAGGATCCAGGAAATTGCAGTTCGATTACTTGTCCAGGCACATGCCTGGGTTGTGGGCTCAATCCCCAGTTGGGGGTGTGCAGGAGGCAGCTGATCAATGACTCTCTCACTATTGATGTTTCTATCTATCTCTCTCTCCCTCTCCCTTCCTCTCTCTCTGAAATCAATAAAGATATATTTAAAAAAAGAAGAATGGGGGGAAATATAGGGGGCTAGTCATGGGCACTCATAGAGCAGCTGGGTGATGCTGGGAAAAGGGAAAGCACATGGACAAGGTAGGTACAGGCCTTGGGAGCCAGGCACAGGAGCCCATTGAGGGTGAAGGAGTGAGGTGCTGGAGCTGGTTCCCACCAGCTGGCGAAAGCTGATTCTCTACATCTCTTCCCAATTCCGCATTCATTCACATCACATTGGTAGCCACGGTGTGAGCATTTACACCACAGAAATTGGCAAACACTACAAATTAGGGTTTTCTCCCTTTTGGAGAGTTGACTGTAAAATATTTACTAGCACACATTGGATCAAGGCCACAAGAGAGAAGCTGGCAGCCCTATTTGGACATTGTTTCGATTCTTCAGCAAAAACTTATTGAGCATTTCTTTGTGCCAGGTTCTGAGCTAAGTGCTGGGGAAACACTTTGTTGAATGAATGGATGGATTTTCTGGACCAAGGGTTTTGTATCTGGAGGAGAAACAATTTAGGACCGCCAGGAAAAAAGAGTCAGAAGTCGTCCCTCTAAGCTGGATTCCACATCCAATTTGGGTACCTATAATCTCCCCAGCTGTCTGAAGCTGGTCCAGTTACCTCCCATCTCTGTATGTGTGATTCACTGAGTGCCCTACACTGGCGTCTCAGGGCTGGCAAGGGCCTATTATGGCACCTGGCTGGACTGCATCCTGTTGCCTTTCTGTGCCCCAGTGCCTTTCCTGCAAAATGGATCACACAGGGGGCTTGTGAGGATCAAGTTCAGGTAAAAAAGGTGGTTGACAAAAGGCAGAGAGTTAGACAGACCTGAGTAGTAATCTTTCCCTTCATGCTGTAGATTCTGAATTTTCTCTTTAGAAGATTTGGGTCTTATTGAGAGTTTACTCTAGTCAATCTTCCTTCTTTAGGGAGGGAAGGAAGAATGGAATCAATTTGTGTTAAAGAAGGAGGATCCTGCTGATTTCTTGAGAGGTGGAGGCAGAAGGGGTGGCAGCACCATCTGTCTTCGGGACACCCGCACATCATGCGCACACACTCAGAAACATTTAAGGAGAATGCTGACCAGGGGGCTCAGGACAACCTCAGCTCCTAAAAGCTATGTCTGGGCAGGCAGAGTCTACGGCTGGAAATGAGGTGAGGTAGACCCTGCCCCAGGGGCCCACTAATTTCAGACTGCTGATAATTGGGTGGGGCAGTTTGATTTACGCAGAAAGTAACTTCATTTCCTGACTACAAGCCCAGGCTAAACTCTGGCCCCAATCTGACCCTTACCCTACCCACAGACACAGATCCTTAACCCTGCCCATGGACTGATGACCCCTAGACCTTGACCTCATACCAACCTCTAATCTTCAGCTTCACCATGACTCCTGGCACTGACTTTTATCCAACAGGCATGATTTATTAGTCATTAGGGATTAGGACAGGGTGTGGCTGAGTAGGGACTCGAAACTGGAGACTCCCATCCTAGAGTGTCCCACAGAACCACAAGGCTTAGGACTTCTTGCCTGATGGAGAGAATTCTCTCAGGATCTATTCGTGGGGTGGGGGTGTCAAGGCTGGATACTTACGCCCCCCAGAGTACTGGAGGTATGCTATGCTGCTGGATTTCAGGGCTCCACACATACCTGTCCTCTGCCCGAGAGGACAGAGCCCACCCAGCTCTTTACAGCTCTCCCTTCTCCCCCACAGGTTCCAGCTTCTCCCACCCACTGCTCTCTGCTCAGCATCCTGCCGGCCCTTTAATGGAACAGGGCTGGACTCTCTCCGCAGGCAAAGTGAGGCCACAGGCATTTCTCTTAAGCCAGAGATTGGGCCAACCAGGGCCCAAGGGGCATATCAGAAACCCCAAAGGGCTGCTTCAGTATGTCTCTGGAGAGGAGCCCTCCAGGAGAAGGACTAGTGGGAGGCTCCTTCTGAGCTGGGGCAGGGGTGACAGAATTGGCCTCTTGGGGCCCCTTCTGTTCTCAACTTTTCTTTCCATACATCCTGCCCCACCCCGGTGGGTCCTCATCATGGGAGCAGCCAGTTCACAAACAACCTCTGTCCCACAGAGCCCAGGCCCTGAGCCCCTCCCATCCTCTGCCCACCAGTCCCGGATCACCTCCCTAACGGATCACCTCCCTCCCTGACCGTCTGGGGCTCCGGGCTGCCTTTGCTCTCGCTGGGAGTCCATATTTCAGAGCTCCCTCTCAGTCTCTCTTCCCCACACAAGCTTGCTTCCTAGACAGGCTCCACCGCCCTGCAGGGCGCCCAGACCCCACCCCACCTGGACGGGGAACTAGCCTCACACAGAGAAGCCAGAGCGCCCTGCTCAGGAGGCCCGTCCGCAGTCTGGAACTGTGGCACCCTGGTCACCCAGCCACTCTGAACTTCTGGGGCCACAGGCCCTGGGACCGCCCTCCTCTCCCCTACACTTAACCCCCAGGTTTCTACCTCAGGTCTAGGTACCGTGCGCTCCACAAACTGGCCCCCTGGAGCAGCGCCCAGCCCCACCCCAGCCCCCAGCCCCCCGCAGGGAGTCTCTCTGGCCCCTCATTATCAGCAGAGCGCGTGTGGGGTCCCAAAGCCCCAAAGGCTGGATGGGCGCCCACAGTCACAGCCCCGCTGGGAAGAGGGGCTTGCAGAGCTGTCCCCAACCCGGCCCCACAGGCTCAGGAAGTCTGTGGTGGGGTCTCGGCCAACGGCCCAGGACGGGATAGCCCCGGACGGGACGGCCACCCCGTGCGCCCTGCTCCCCTCCGGGCGCCCTCCAGGCCCCGTCCCGGAACTCACCTCCTCCCTGCCCGCAGCGCGGTGTCCGTCCCGCCGCCTCGACCGCGGCCC